AGAGAGAGAGAGAGAGAGAGAAATTCTGCCTCGTTTCAGTTAGTAATATACTTCATTGTTTTTATTACAGATACTCACCATAAACATAAAGTCTCTCTCTTTTCCCCTCCCTTCTTCTCTCTCTCTTTCATTTTGTTTTGTTCTTTGCGTTCTATTTTTTGAGGACTCAAAGCTCTATCAATTCAACAAGGGGATAGGCCGGGTAGGTCAAATCAGTGAAAAAGATTTTTCAGCACAGAGTGGGCACCCAGGGGTGGGCTTCCTCGTCGGCAGTCTGTGCTGGCATCCATTGGCACAGGGAGCTCCAGGAAGGGCACTCCGTTGCCCACACTCCTTGGCCTGGAAGGATCTGATCCATTTCCCTGACTTCAGAGTTTCCCAGATTTTTCAGTAAAGCCCCCAGGATGGCATTTCAACATGTTTTTTAGCACCGTAGCTGGAAGCACTTTAGCTGTAAAGCATACTGGAGCTTTTATGATGTCCTTGTCAACAGACAAGTGGCAAGGTGACAGTGTCCCAAAGAAATCATCCCTGCTGGGCTGTGGGCTGCCCTGCAATCAGACATCCAGCCTAACCAGGCCTTGCACGATGGACAGAGACCTCCCCTTCCTCTGTGTTTATTCAGGAGGTATAAGCTCCTGAGGGGACTCATGTGACCAGAGTCACCTTGGACTGGGCAGCACTTATTCGCATCTGCCTTTAGCTTTCCCTTGGAGCCTGCACGCTCCTGTCTTTGCTTTGTGGACATCTTGGTAGCCCATCAATCCTGTGCCCTCAGTGAGCACCAGCAAGGTAGGTAGTAGAGTCATACTGATCTGGAAGCAAAGTGTGTAGTGCAAACTCTCACACCAAATTCAGTTTCCTTCCCATGGACAAGGCTGGAAGCCCAGGAGGCTGTTCACAGGACAGATGCTTGGGGACGGTGTCTAAGGACCCTGGGCACAACCTGGACTGTGCCAGGCTCTGCCGTGGCACTGAGCCTTGTCTGCAAAAGTACCCATGAAAGGGTCCCCAACAAGGAGGCAGGCAAATGTGTTTCCGTACTCTGAATTGTGGAGAGGATGCCAGCCCCATCCCTGGCGTGCATGTAAAGCTTGTAGTTTCAGGCCGGGCTCCATTCATGGGCTGAGATCAAGCTGCCAGTCGCGTGAGGCTCTGTGTGTGAAGCCCACATTTTCTGTGAACTATCTCTGAAGGCAGCATGAGGTCACCCAAGAAAACCAGAACAAGGGAAAAGACTCATTAGCAAAGGAATTTTGCTGGAGCCTTAAAATGAGCCAGCTCGTTACTTCCTTTCTAAGTTCTTGTAAGTGAGAAAGGAAGAGAGAAAAGGAGAAGTTGTTGCTTTCCAAGAAAGTTTGCTTGGTGGCAAATATTTGGTGTTTTAATTCAGGCATGGGAGGACATGTCTTTTATAAATACAGCATCTTGTTTCTGACCAAAGGAAAGTTCTTACTATGCCTTTCTTTTGGGTGTGGAGGCAGCTAGACTATAGAAATATTTTTTTCTTTTCTTTTTCATGGTTTGTTTATTTTTCAAGTTGACATGTGTGGAGAAAGTGAGTCTCTAGTGTAGAAAGCACATCTGGAATCCATCCTGCCCCCTGTCCCCGGATCCTGTCTCCCAGCAGTGGTCCTTTTGGAGCAGGGGAAGGCAGGCAACCCTCCACTGGCCGGGTCTAACGTAGCAGAGTCCTCTTCTGGGCAGAAAGAAAGCATGTTGGCGTTGAAATGCTTGAGGTCACTGGGTGCTCCCAGCATTGCAAGGCCCCAGTGTAGACTCTTAGGTACCAGGGTCTGGAGGGAAGCTCGGACGGTGGGGACTGTGATGCAGACAGTGGAATGCTTAGTCTCTCACCGAGCTAGGGGAAGAGGGAGGGAGGGCCTGCCTGGGTTGTCTGGGCTCCTTAGTGCAGAACCGAGAGCAGAGTGCTTTGTACTGAGGAACTTGGAAGGAATCTGTATTGGGTCGCAGATCACTGCTGATGAGGGTGAGCATCGCTACCCTGGAGCTCATCCTTCTGCTGCAATAGGCCCAGCTTTCTGAATATGTGCAGAGCTCGTATGCTGAGAGCCGCTTTTCCCAGCACCAGGCTTTAAGTATCCAGGTGGAAATTAATGAGTGATCAAGGTAGAACTCAAGTTTCCTACTGTGTTGAGCTGCCTGACCCAGCCACTCCCCAGCACCCCTTCCTCAGGATGCCCAGCACCTCTGATCGTGGTTAAAACCAATCTTAGATACTGGATGTCTCTTGGAAATCCAGGGTCGTGCTATGAACACAGGCAGGTATTCACCGAGAGATCAACCTGTCCCAGTGGCATTAGTGCACACGGGCGACCACTGGGCCATAGAAGCCAGGAATGAACAGAGAGTGCTGTGCTTTTCCAGACAAAGGATAATGGCTTGCCTGTGTCTGTTTGAGTCCACAGGCCTGTCCTGCACTGCATCCTAGTGATGGAAATGCACCAGGCACATCGCCTCCTGTGGGTTCCACGTATGTGAAGGGTAGAAACAGGCTGAACTCACCTGGGGGAGGAGAAGCCCAGATGTGACCACACGCGTGATCTGTTGTGACGAGGAGTGGCACTGGGTGGCAAATGGAGGCGGGGACCATCCTGACGCTGGTCTGGGAGCTTCCTCTGAGTATTTCAGATGTGTTAGGTGGGGCAGGCTGATACCCCAGGACCCCAGTGCCCACAGCACCCAACACTCCCTCAGTGACCCAGCAGCACTGGGCTTGCTGAGATGGAGCTTTCTTCCTGCAAACTTGAGGTCTGTGGCCGGCTCCCCTTGGGAGTGGAGGAAAGAGTTCGCCCTTGACGTGTTCTTGACTGTGCACAATAATGTTTAGCAGTATCTGAAATCAGTCTGGCCTCCAGCCGAGCACTTAACCCACAGGATGGAGCCAACTTTGTAAATGTTGATAATCCAGAGAAAATAAGCCTTTAGGTCCCAGAGAGACGTAGATACCTTCCAATTATGCAGATGCAGAGAATCATATTTAAAAAAAAAATGCTCTGCAAACATATGCTCCTTGAAGGAAGAGTATTAGGTGAAGGGAAATGGTAAAGCAAGCATTCGTGGGAAAGTATGTTCAGCTTCAAGAGCCATGGTCTCTGGTGCATCTTCTCCCACTTTTACTGTGGCCCATCACTCTTATTGTTGGCTTGTTTGTCTTATGCTCTGCTCAATCTTATAAAAGGAGGGAAAACATTAAAAGATGTGAGTCTGCAGAGCCACGTATCTATTAACCCTCTGTGCTTTCTCCCAAGAGCAGCTCCAGATCTTGACATTTGAAGGGACTCATTCCCTTCTGCCCTCCCTGTGTGGCAAAACCCGAGGTGTACAGAACACTCAAGAAAGGTCCAAGGTATAGAAAATGGGGTGGGGGTTCTGTGGGGGAAGAGTGAGACACAGAAGACAGGCTAAGATAGCACGAAGGATGGCCTGAATTAGAAACACACCCATGTCACCAAAAAGACAGGGAGCGTAGAGAAGCACCTGAACCCTCACCTGAGCTGGGAGACAGAGCTTCTGGCATTGGCACTGGGACCAGTCTGTCCAAGCAGGTGATTTTGTGGCACCTACGTCCTTGCGGTGGAGTGCACAGCTGGCCTGGGCAGAGCACATCATGGACAGGGCCTCTGGGAGCCCACAGGTGGGGCCTGGGAAAGTCCCTGCCGCCACTGTGAGCCTGGCAGAGCCAATCAGCAGCTTGGTGATGGTTTCAGGCCAGCTCCTTTAGAAAGGAAGAGGAGCCACAGAAGATGGCACCAGAAACTGGTCACTGATGACCTTTCCTGCCTCAACTTGGATGCACCCACAGGATGCTCCAGTCAGGATGGAAACTGAGCAGAAAAAGGGCACAGATAAAGTAATTCTCCAGTCACTCCCCACAGATTAAAAAAAAAAAAAACTAGATAAGCAGAACATGGGCATCTATTGAGCACTGAGAGTACACAAAGTGCTGGGAAAACAGAGTGCACTGCAGTGTGTCAATGAGAGCAGATAAGACCTCCAGGCAGAGCATTTGTGTGCTAATGCGTTTGTAGTCCTTGCTCAGAAAATTTTAGCTGCTTATTATTATTTCTGCCCTTCAAAAGAGAGCTTGCAGGCAGGGAAGCAGCCTCAGGGAAAAGTCGCTGGGGACTGGGGTGATACCAGAAGGTGCTACTGGACAAGTGGGATGTGACTTGGACTTAGAAGAACAGTCAAGGTTTCAATGAAAGGGTGGAAGGGAGTAGGCAGGGCTGGGGAAAGCAGCCCACCGGTCTGTCCTGTCTGCCTCCAGGGGAACTTGCCCCAGGTCCTAGCTGGGTGGGGAGCTGGCCTCGGTGAGGCAAACCTGGTGCAAGATGATCTTATGAGTGACAGGGAGGCCTCACTAGTGACCCAGACCATCACTGCCAGCCTAGCTTCTGAGGGCAGCTTTCTACACCCAAAGTGGGAGAGGGCTGAGGCCCACATGGAAAGGTTTTTGGCAGCATGTGATACTCAGACTGACCTCAGGGATACCAGACAGCTCTCATGGAGACTGCCGGGCTGGGGCCGAGGCAGTTCCAGGCAGAGCACAGACATCAGCTCTAACAGTGGCCAGAGCTTCCGCAACAACTGAGCCCTCCACACTTCAGGACTCTGGGAGAAATCTCTTCAAAGAAGCCACAGATTTCCTCCTCCCTATCTTGGAAGATCCAAGTGATGAGGGGAGGGAAGGGTCATCATCTGCTGTCCCTGGAGGGTCATGAGGGTTTGGAAACTCATGGGAGCCACCTCCCCTCCTAAACTCCACAGCACAGTGTCCTCCTACAGGGGACTGAGGCCCTCAACGGGGCAGGACCTCCCGTGCAGGCGAGGCCTTTGGGTTCTATAGAGCCCTAAAATGCAGTCTTCTAGTGTTGCAGAGTGGCCCTTGGGTCTCTGAACCCAATTTACAGCAGGAGCTTAGCAGAGTAAAAATATTTTCAGTAGACACACAAAGTGGACCTCATTCATGTTAACCTCATTTAGTCTTCATCAGGAATTGAAATCCTCAACTAATTTTAATTTAAAACGTGTGGTGCCACAAGATCTCACTCATACATAGAGGGTAAAAACCTGAATTCATAAAAGTAGAAACGACATCACTGATTACTAGTGGATGGAAAAGGGGTGGAGGAAAAGGATTACACTGGATAACAGGTGCAAAGTTCCAGTTAAATAGAAGAATAAGTTCTAGTGATCCGTAGCACACTCAGGTGACTAGAGCTTATGGAGAGCTATAAGAAAGGAGTTCAGAACTTCCCAACACAAAGAAATGATAAACGTTTAAAGAGATGGAAATGCTAATTACTGTGACTTATTACACATTGTATACATGTATCAAGTTATCATCACACACACTGTAACCCCCTCAAGAGGTACAGTTATGTATCAGTTGTGAATAAAACGATGTGAAATAGGAAGAAAAGTGCTAAAGGCGTAGGGGAAGTTGGAAGGGTAGGGGAAAGAAGAAAAAATGGAAATAAAGTATCTGTTAATAGAGAAGGGAAGAGGGGGTGAAGGGCACGCATGGACAAGGGGAAAAAATGAGAACCAAGGCCCGTCATGTAAAGGAACAAGATGCCAATGATGAATGTAACTGTACTGTATACCTAAGATGTACCAATAAACTCAAAGAGGAAAAAAATAAATAAAGCAAGTGCACGGTAAGCAATTTCTGTCTTGGTAGTGAGTCTGCAGCATTATCAGGATCCCAAGAGGTCGGTCAGGATCACCAGCGGTTCAGGTGGACCCACTCTGCCTGCAGGAGAGGAAGAATTCAGTTCAGACCTACTGAAGGTCTGGGGCTGGGACCACGGCTTTGCGATCTTGCAGGTCTTTCAGATGCGCTGTTCTTCCCTTGCATTGGCTTAGTTATGCAAAATGTCTGAGCCTCTTTCTTTGGCAGTGCAAGGAATAGAGCCTAGGGCTTCAAGCACGCTGTGCCGCTGAGCTACACCCCAACTCAGGCCTCTGCATTTCAAGCCATGCTCAAAAACTGCGATTTTCATTGCATTTGTTCCCTTTCTTCTAACCTCAGCAGCAGCGGCTTCCGTCTTGCAGGTTTTTACCCCTTTCTCACTGAGCTCTGAGCTCAGCTACGGGCAGGGGAGCGGGGCTGCAGGCCGAGGTCAGCTGTAAGCTGCTCTTCCTGCCAGCCGCAGGTCAGGCCAGGGGACGCCACCCAGGAAGCGTGGCCACTTCCCACCGTGCACCCAAACAAAGTGGGGAGGTCGCAGGAGTCTGGCAGGCGTTATTCCTGATTCCACTTTGGGTTTTGGGGTGTTTTTTTTGTTTCCCAAGAAAGCCATGTTCTTCTCTGAGTAACGGGATAATGATTTACCGGCTTCTGTGCAGTACTTCAGGATTAACTGGTTAGAACTTCCCAGGGCCTGGAAATTTTCAAACGGAGGCTTTCTTTGGGTCTGTGTCTTGGTTACATTAAATGATTCATACTTTGACTTTCCCTCCTCCGGGACCTCCAGGCCCCAAATAGCTTCCCCTGGTCTCCAACTGCTCAGAAACGTGGCCCGTGTTGAAAGTACCCTCTGCGGTCCTGACCTCACCAGCTGTCCAAATTCTTCAGGGTTTTCCGTGCTGCATTGGAACCCACGGTTGTCCTTTCTTCCATCTTGTTACAGGAGCCCGTTTCCAGCACCCTGCTGGAGTCTGGCCTGCGCATTCCTGGAACCCGAGCCACAGCTGCGGTCGCAGTCCCGCTCGGGCCTTGAAATGAACGTTCCTTGGGCGCCCTCTGGTGGATTGTGGAGTTAACTGTCGGCGTCGATGGCAGCCACGATCCCGCCGATTTCGCCCACCCGGCTTGCCTCGGCCAACGAGACTCTGCAGAAACATTACAGCTACGTGGGGAAGCTGGAGGGCAGGCTGAAGAACTCTTCGGAGGGCAGCACGCTCACCACCGCCCTCTTCTTGGTATTATGCAGCTTCATCGTCTTGGAGAACCTGATGGTTTTGATCGCTATCTGGAAAAACAACAAGTTTCACAACCGCATGTACTTTTTCATTGGCAACCTGGCTCTGTGCGACCTGCTAGCGGGGGTGCTGTACAAGGTCAACATTCTGATGTCGGGTGAGAAGACGTTCAGCCTGTCCCTGACCGTCTGGTTCGTCAGGGAGGGCAGTATGTTTGTGGCCCTGGGGGCGTCCACCTGCAGTTTGCTGGCCATTGCCATCGAGCGCCACCTGACCATGATCAAGATGCGGCCCTACGATGCCAACAAGAAGCACCGGGTCTTCCTCCTGATCGGCATGTGCTGGCTCATCGCCTTCTCGCTGGGCGCCTTGCCCATTTTGGGCTGGAACTGCCTGCAGAACCTGCCCGACTGCTCCACCATCTTGCCCCTGTACTCCAAGAAGTACATCGCCTTCTGCATCAGCGTCTTCATAGCCATCCTGGTGACCATCGTGATCCTGTATGCCCGCATCTACTTCCTGGTGAAGTCGAGCAGCCGCAAGGTGGCCAGCCACAACTCAGAGCGGTCCATGGCCCTGCTGCGGACCGTGGTGATCGTGGTGAGTGTGTTCATTGCCTGCTGGTCCCCCCTCTTCATCCTCTTCCTCATCGACGTGGCCTGCAGGGTGAAGCAGTGTCCTGTCCTCTTCCAGGACCGGTGGTTCATCATGCTGGCTGTTCTCAACTCTGCCATGAACCCTGTCATCTACACGCTGGCCAGCAAGGAGATGCGGCGTGCCTTCTTCAGACTGGTCTGCAACTGCCTGGTCAGGGGCAAGGGGGCCCATGCCTCACCCATGCAACCCGCTCTAGACCCAAGCAGGAGCAAATCTAGCAGCAGCAGCAGCAGCCACTCCCCGAAGATCAAGCAAGACCAATCCCCCATGGCCACTTCATCTTGCATCATTGACAGAAACAGAGCCCTTCAGAATGGGGTCCTCTGCAAGTGAGCCCCTCCAGGCGGCCAGCCCTGCAGCCACGCTCTTATTTATTGCATGCATGCCTCGCATCCCTGTGGGCCTTTACAGAGCTGTGACTCGAGATCTTCTTGGCATTGCCTGACGGCCAGCCTGGTGTGAATGTCTCCTGAGGAGAGGACCCAAGAAACTGTCAACCCATTTCAATGCAGACAATGTGACTTGTCCTTTTCCAGAGTCCTCCAAATGTACTAAGCTGCTCGTCATCCGCCACCTTCTTTTGAATCCTGGATACCACTTTCTGTGATTCCCGGAGGGGAGAGGTCACAGGCTGCATGGTGCAGAGTGTGCCTCTCTGTAGGCCGTTGGGGGATTTGATAACTTCATACTACACTGATTGCACATAGAATTACATATTCATCAGTTTCTGTGTCACACCGAATCTGTGTTCCATGGGTTTGCCATGAGGTGCCTGCAGTCTCAGCACCCTGTGCGGTTATGTAACTATTCAGAGCACAGCACTGGGTGGGTCTGACGAACTGCTACTCCAGTCTACCCGGACTGATAGGATGGTAAGCACATTTTTAAAGCCCAGAGGTGGGGGTTTGACCCAGCCAGCCCTGTGTGCCTTCTGTCATGTGTCTCTGCATAATTTTAAGCATATCCAAAAGCCAGATCATGTGATTATGAGACCCACCTAAGATCTCCCAGGGGCTCCTGTGAACCAAAGAAAGCCTGCAAGCATGAGGCAAGAGTTCACCTTTCTAAGTCATTGGGAGTCATGATCTGCTTAAGGTAGCCGTTTCCACTGAAACAAGAGGTTTACAAGACAGCACTTTTGGTTCTTTGTCAAGTTTCATTCTTACCAGAAAAGCACAGCATCAGAAACCACTGGCTCTATCACCACCCAGTGTCTGGGACCATCAATAAAGTCTCAAGTGTCTTGAGTGGAAACACCGATAGTGACCGTTAGTGGGAGTAGTTGGTTAGGTTAGGGATTGTGGCCCGGCATGGCGCTGTGACTTTACTTTCCAACATAAGCTGTCTCACTCTGTTGGTCCTGTGAAGGAATCGCTCCGAAGACGTCTCTGTCCATATTCCTCCCACGGGGGATGGAAAGTGAACACGAATGTGGAGTTCACGTGCGCACGCCACTGCTGTGCTGAGTTCTTTGTCACAACAGCAACAGAAACAACCTTCAAAAGGGTGGGTGAACCTCGCACCAGAACATCCTAAAGCTTTTAGGTTCCATGAGAATTCTGCCTTACTAATACCTAAAAGAGCAGTCTTAACACATAAATGACTTTTTAAAGAGAAAGTGATTCCCCATGTATCTGATGTGCGCTGCTGTCTGTTCCATGAGTCCTGGTGACCTCCACATACTGACCAAAGACCGCCTCATTTCTGTTCCTGATGAGACAGAACCTGTCGGTGAGGTTCCTCAGGGACATGTGTTGTCTGTCATCGAAAAGTTGTGTGTTCTCTCAGCTGGTATCATAAGAAAACCTAAAGTGTTTTTAGGGGGAAAATGTAGGAGGGAGGCCACATGCATTTTCATTTAGGAAATGAAGTGATTTTTAAAAGTTCACTGGTCATAATTTTGAGTTGCTTTGGAAGCCTTAGCTCCCTTTGTCACTAATATTAATAATACCTTGTTCCACTACCCTGACTTCTTCAGTGCCTTTGGGAGATACCCACACTTGTGGCATGTCAGCAGGGCTTGGGAGATCGCACAAAGCTTCTAAGCAATCCGAATTTAAAAGACACGAAGAAAGTAAGTGTGACCGTTGACATATACAAAAACCAACCACTTCTGACACCTTTGCTCGTTCCCAGCTGGCTGGAGGTCACTGAGAAGTGGAGTTGGAAGAGTACTTACCATGAAGGTCGGAGACAGGCGGTCTTCTAAGCCACAGAGAATCTGTGTTTGATCTCATTGCAGGTGATAGCCTTTACTCTTTCCAGTGTATGTAAAAATAAAAAAAAAGTCCAGTGTATGTTTGTTTTAAAAAATAAAATCAAAAGCCTTTATATATACCAGTGTTTGAGAGTCCCTGAAGTAGGGTGGGACTGTTTGATTGTGTTCTTCTGGGACTGTCCCTTGGCAAACTTGCTTCTTACCGGGTATCTGTGTTTCTCAGCATTTTGGGAATGAATCACATTAAAAACCAAATCCCTCTTTCACCTTAGACTTCCCACTCTCATAGATAGTGTTTTCATGAAGCTTTCCTCATTGGTGCTGTTTACATCAACTCTGGAAGATCCTGCTGTTTCTATAAAGAACAAGAGCTCTTTTGATAGGGAGGAAATTGTGAGCAAGTACGCCCTAGGAGACGGGATGTTTGGCCCTGCTTGACCTGCTGTTATTTATGCAAGAGAACCAGCCCTTTGCTGGTTAGCTTTTTCCCTCAAAAATGATATGTGTGGCCTAAATGTCCTGGCAGTGACACCATCACCCCAGTGGGTGATGGTTTGTACCTTTCCTGCCCATCTCTCCAACCTGGATTGGCCAAGCAGGTGCAAGATCATGACATAAACACGAGATCCCCAAGGCTGCTTTCGCCACTACCATTTTTCATTCTCCTGGGAAATAACTAAACATCTGTTTCCTAGAGAAAAGTTTCAAACTGCCCTGATTCTTTTTGTGAAGCAGTGTGAGACCCGCCATCCAAATGAAAGAGACTTTTCACAACAACCTTTATTGCCAACGGACTTACATTTATAGCCATCGAAACAATTGTTTTTAAAAAATGGTAGTTCCTCTCAACTCTTGAGCAATACTTATTCTGCATTGATACAGAGCCTTTCACAGAAATGTAACGAGGTGTATTTTATAGAAAATGTCTAATTACCTTGCCAGTTCCATGCTTGTAAATTGTGTCTACAATGCAAAACCGAAATACCCAAATGTTTTTAGTATCTAAGTCAAACATCCGAAGAGGTTGCTACATAGTCAGAAACACACACACAGGGCTGGGGATTTAGCTCAGTGGTGCCGCTGCCTGCCTTGCAAGCACAAGGTCCAGAGTTCAATCCCCGGTACCAAAAACAAAAAAAAAAAAAAAAAAAAAGAAAAAGAAATGCACAAACCATTATTCTGATAATAAAGGCACGTTGTCCCATAACCAGTTTTCATGAGAAGTGCAGCACTGCCTAAATTAGGTATGTCATCTTACACTTCTGAGTCAGAGCGATGACACTTGGGGATGCTGTGTGACACCTCCACCTGGGGAGCCCAGCAGCACAGGATGCCCGGGACGCCCGGGGAAAGGCTTGCAAGTGAAATCATGTCATTTCCTGAAGGAAGGAAACGGATTTGCTGAAAGTGAGGAGGGAATTTAAGCCAAATGTCTTGACATGTTGTATTGTCTGATCTCCAAAATGTTTGGCAAATAACTCAAGATTTATCCCTTCTCATAGAACAAACATTAGGAAACTTGATGGGAGTTTTGTATTTCCACTCCTCAGGGGTGTCCAGGAAGCCAAGTCCATTCCAGCCTCAAAGTAGAAAGGAGTGACTTGGTCGTACACCCAGACACAGACCATTACAATAAGTCTTTTCATTTCACAGAAGTTAATGGAAACAAAAGAAAATTTTCAAATAATGTCCATTTATCAGTAAGTATAATTTTCCATCCAAATGCTTTTTAAAAAGTAATAAATACCTCATTATCACACACTAAATTTACATGGTGTTATCTCCTGATCAGGGGATTTCAAAGCCAGGTGTTTAATTTTGAATACAAAAAAACAGCCACATACTTAATTTCACGATATTCTGGAACAAGTTATATTCAAAAGTCAAATGAGCAGAGAACATTCCACTTGTAACTCACACATAATTGTTACAAAAAAAACAACTCAGTGTTGAAAGTTGAACTTGTCCATTCGTTTCTGCTGTTAATTGTTGCTTGATCTCAATGGTTAGAGAGTTTGGTCTTGGTGAAAATATCTACTTGGGTGTGAATTCATTCCCTGGGCAGGCAGCTCAGAGCAGCAGGGCCACTCTCCAGTGCACATTTCCATATCTAGCAGTTCTAGGGGAGGCGACAAAATCTCAGATACTTAAAACTCTATGATCTTTATTTCTCATGCTTTCTTCTGCAAGAATGTTTCTTCCAGCCCCAGGAAAGGAGCCTGTGCATTTTAGCCATCAAAACAATTTTTGGAACTCGCCTGCTCTGGGCATCTGAGCTGGCAGATGGAAGGAGGGAGGCTGGGAGCTCCTCCACTGCCCTCCGCTTCTTCTGATGTTGGGGGTTCACCTGCATCAAGTAAGACCTGAGCATTCTGTGCCCTCCTCTGACTCTTATGATCTTCTACACCAATGCCTGCTGTACAAAGCACTCCCAGAAGCCCTGGATAGACCTGTGTGCCCTGTCCTCCCTGGTCCTACTGAACTGGGACACACTAGCACTGTGAGGCTTGTCACACGCCAAGGTGGGGTGTGTGTGTGTGTGTGTGTGTGTGTGTGTGTGTGTGTATACTGACCTCCTACTGGATTTCAAACAGGCAGAAACCTGGTGCATTCACGTCTCTCTAGTCCCTGAACCCAGTGCAGAGCCTGTCCTGTAGAGACAAATGCACAGAGGCCAAGGAGGTTGGTCAGAAAAGCCAAGGAGGCTGTACCACCATACACAGCTGCATCCAGGGAACCACACCGGCCACATCACAGCCTCCCTCACCACACCCTTGTGGATAAGTAAAATGTAAGCCTGCACTTGTTTTGCCTTCCCTCTCCTTTTTGTTTTCTCCTGTCTCTGCCTTTTGTTTCCTTGTCTTTCCCTGTCAGCCTCCCTTCCCTTTCCTTTCTCTATCAGGGTCCCTGGTGGATGCTCCTGTGTGTGCTGGACCCAAATCCCGTTCCCACTGAAGCCCCAGTTCCTAGAGCTTCCAGTTTCCTCCTCTGCATATGCCAGGGCCAGTGCTCGTCAACCCCAAACTCGTACCGACTGTTTGACTCGTTACCCTTATTAGACACAAAATCCAGGCAAGACCATCTGGTGGGAGCCCAGAGACAGATCCATCTGGATCAGTGTGGGTACAGGTGTGTGTGTACACACATACGCGGGGCATATTCACAATCCTGGGACAAAGTTGCAGTTTTTTCTGGTTGCAATATAAAATGTGCCAGTTTTAAAACTGTGCATTTGTTGCTTGCAAACTTATAAATATGTATAAACCCCATTATAAATAAATCGCGGCTGGCAGATGGCATTTTATCTGCCAGCCACGGTTGCATGGAGCTGGAAGTACTTATTAATCCTCCATTTTTACATTCACATCATGGAGCCCAGGAGCTATGACATGAAGTGGTATGAAAGCTCAATCATCAAATAGAGGGGTGGAGCCATCAATAAGAGACAGGTAAGGGCTGAATACTCTCCTCGGCCAATGCTCGAAGTCAAGACTCACAACCAGCCACACAAGCATCCCCTGGCAACATATTTGAAAGGCAAATTCTTGGGCCTCACTCCAGACCCTCTGGTCAGGAGTTCAGAGAGGAGCAGAGTCCTGCAATCTAACCATGAGCTGGCCGGCTGGTTCTCAGGCCCCAGCTACCCTAGGTCTGTTTATCAGGAACTCCTGTCACTGTCCAAGGGCTTCCCAGCTTGTCAAGTGTGCTCAGGTGCGCACAGGGATGGCCAGGGTATCCCCAAAACAGCATCCCACCAGTAGTGGCCTCAAAGCTTTCTGTCCCCTCCACTGGGCTGCCACTGAGGTGTGTCCCACCCTGTCTCCTGGGCATCTGGGCGGGGTACAATCCTAGCTGTCCACATCATGAGAATCCACTTAACCACATAGCCCTTCTTTATCACTTCCTTCCCCCCCATTCCTGGGATCGTCACCCACACAAACTACTCACACTCAGACCTTCTCTGAGGTCTGCTTCCACAAGAACCCCAACTGCAAGAGAGAGAACGCAAGCACTGTCTCTCCCAGCTAAGTGACTCAGGACTATGCATTTTAAAGTGGGGCGTAAAGGTAAAACCAGAGGAAAGAGCACTACGGACACTTTCATGGGGGTGAGCTTCCTGCGTAATCCCTGAAGGGCCTAAGACCGTGTTCTTCTCTAGACTCAGCCATCCTCTGGCAGGCCGGCTGGCTCTGGTTTCCGTATCTGCAAAAGGGGATCACCTGGCTGCAACCTTTCATTCCTTGTTATCTTCAATGAAGCTGACAGTTCTATGTTTTCAGGATACTCCAGGAATGGGAGTTACTGGTTTTATCTTTCTTAGAAGACAGACTTCCCCAAGAACCAAGGTGTTATTCTGAAACCCACTGCAAAGACTCTGTCTGGGTGCAATGATTTAGTTCTCAATCTTTCCACAATTCTCCTACCCACTTTCAATCTAGCTGTCTCCACCCACAGAAGAGGATTCATGGATGGCAAGCAACCTTGGCCAGTCAGTGAGAAAAACGATGTATGCTTTTGTGGATGAAGAATTTCAAGAAGTTACTCTTCCCTTGTGGTGGGAACTACGCGCAGCCACTGTGTGGCAAGAAATAAGCCACAGCTCAGAGAGACCCAGCCACCAGCCTGAGGCTGTCATTCTGAGTGTGATGGGGCTGAGGCGCGATGGAGGAGTCCTGTGCTGCTGGCACTATACAGGGGGCCTGTGGTCCAGCTTCTACTCAGCCTCAGCCCAACAGAAGGGAATGTGGGACTGGTCTTCATGACGCAAATGGCACAGAGGAAATGAAGAAAGGAGCCACCCAAGTGCCTGATGAAGCAGAAAGAAAAGTTTCATCTCAGGAACTGGGGACATCTTCAGTGTCCCAGATGGGGAGGGAAGCCGGACAGGTGTCAGCTGTGACCCTCAGTCCCTGGGCTCTTTTGGGTCTGCTTGTCCTGGGTCTGTCCTCCTTTCTTACACTCATTCCCTGCCATTTCTGTCTTTATTTACAGCTATCCAGTCTTCCTTCAGCGATGGGGAGCTGTGCATGGCTCAGTTGGGCCTTGGTCCATCTACCTCAACACAAGATGGCTTTGAACAGAATGATCGCTCACCAAGCCTAAATAGCACCCAGCCCTTTGGTCCTTCCAAGGTAAAAAGGCCCGCGGTGATGTAGGTATAGGACTGAAGACCAAGTCTTTGACCTGTACCTTATCAGGCTGCCTACCTGACTCTACAGGGAGCCATTTAGAGGATCCTGGTGGTCAGGAAATCATGGACCACAGTGAGCACCCCATGGGAGACCCGCCTGGCCTCACAGGACAGAGGTGCACTTGAGGCATGGCTCCTTCACCCAGGAAGGTAGGCATGGGGGAGCACGGGTCTCCAGGGCCACTGTGAAGGAAATGCCACTGCATTAAGACTGCTGGACCCTCCTTGTATCCTAGCAGGGTGCAGTGGTAGTGCCCAGGAGAGAGGCAGCAGGGCCGAGGCCCACTCCACGGACCCAGGTTGGCCCAGTACAGTGCACTGCTACTGTAGCTGAATGCACCGCTCAGCGCTGCTCTGCATGGGGTGCTGATCAGCAGCTCTGCCCCTGCCCGGCAGAGGTGCAGCGTGAGAGCGGAGGGCAACAGGGTGTCAGGCTGGGCAGTGAGGAGGCCCCCTGTTGGGTTTACCTCTAAACCCTGGCTGGCACATGGCAGGAAGAGCTCAGGAAGTGCTGAGTGAGCAGAGGAGCTCTGCTGCCTGCTGAGGGCAGGACCTGCGATGCCACGAGCCCCAGTTTCCCCACTGTGAGCAAGGCTCGCAGGAACACCCTGTCAAGTGGTGCTCGAAATAACTCAAGTGTGCTCCAGCACACTTCAGAAAGAGGAGGGATACTGGGCGTGGTGGCACACACCTGTAATCCCAGTACTCTGGGAGCCTGAAGCAGGAGGATCACAAGCTTGAGCTCAGCCCAAGAAATTGAGAGTTTTAAGAAGACCCTGGCTCAAAATAAAAAAAAATTTTTTAAAAATAAATAAAAAGATCTGGAGATGTTGCTCAGGAGAAGGCCCTAGGTTCAATCCTAGTACCAGGAAAAAAATGGAAGGGAACAAAAATTAGAAGAGTACTGCTATCCACAGCTGAAACATCTGATGGCTAAAAGGGAATACCAGCTTTTCCACTTGGCACCATTGTAGCATAACCAACCTTAGAATCTGAGATTAAAATTACATATTTTGAATCAGTATTAAAAACAAAAGATGACTCCAATACCTTTAATTTCCTAAACTGATTCTCATGCAGTGTATATAATACACACATTGCCTATCATCCTTGAGATCAACACTAACTTCAGAGAAAGGAGCTGCCGTAACTGCAGATCACCACTTCCTAATTCCCCCTACAAGGAAAATAAACCAGAGCAAATTTTCCCTTTGTCAGTGTTGTTAATTTCTGTTTTCTGCTTTCCTGGGGTCCCTGAATATTAGCATTTGGCTTTGCACACATGGGGAATGCCAGAATGTTGAGAGAAGGCCACTGCAGGCACTTTACATGTAGTATGTGTTTACACACAAGAGGCTCAGACATGTGTGTGTGTGTGTGTGTGTGTGTGCGCACGCGCGCGTGAGGGCAAGGTGCACCCCACCCCCAGGGCTCAGGGGTGCAGTGTGATTCTCAGAGCCATCCCAGAGTCTGTGGTCACAGATAGGCACCTGGACCAGCTGCTACCTGCCTCCCTGCTCAGGCATCCATGCTGTGCCTGAAAGGAACATCATTCAGGAAGCACAGGTGGTCTATGCCTCCTAAAACACGTTCCAGAGACCCACTTCACCACAGCTTGGAGTCATTGGAACCCCAAAGGGCAAAAACGCCAAAGAAGCCTAGGGTCTGCCTGGCATCCCCCTTCATTAGGTGCACCACGTCCTCCCATCTGGCCACACACTCCCAAAGCAGAAACCGAGTCCACACACTTGGCATTAGAACCTTGCAGAATCGTGACTCACCGGGTTTTTAAAAAGCATCCGATTTATCACTCTCGAATTCTAAGTGTGTGCAGAGCACCTCTGTTTCACTGGCTGTGGCTGCCCTGTGCTACAGGGCCTCACAGAGACTAGAAGAGAAGCCAACCACTGAATGCATCCTCCGGCTGTGGTATAAATACAGCATCTGTAAAGGGAATCTCAGCCTAAATGTTTTTAAAAAGTCACAGACACTGCCAACTTCCCAACACCAAGTGGCCATCAGGAAGTGTCAGTGTCTGATCTTCAAATAAGAGCATTGTGGGGCACACACCAGGAAATAGTTCAGGGACTGTAAGGGGCTCACCATCCCTCACTGCAGGGGAAAACCTCCACATAGTGCCTAAAACTCCAGGGTCTTGTCCTGAACGTGCGCGTGCGCGCACACACACACACACACACACACACACACACACACACACACAGGAGCCAGGCCAGGTATGAGTCTGAAGTGTATTTGGCCCCACCTTCCTGAGCTGCTTACACAGGCTTTTCCTCTATTAAATACCAGGGATGGACAGGACTGCGGCAATTGGACTGGCCGCTAGCACAACCTGCCTGTGATCAGCTCACTGGCTAGAAGGCTGCGCACGCTGAGGACTTGCCTCAACTGCCTTGCTCAGATACCCATCTTCTCATCCTCATACGGGTGAGAACTAGGGCGCGTTCGTCATCAGGGTCTTGACTGGCAAGGCTTACTCTGTGCCACGTTTGGCCTCAGGAGAATCCTCAGTGACTCCCAAGCCACGTTCAGCAGAACCTGGAGGAGCTGCAGTGCGACTTGCTCTGTCATGAGGCTGCCCCGTGTGTGCGGGGGTGGGCGGCAACGCCAGGGGCACTGCGAGTACCACCCCCATCACCCCCAGAGCTGAGTCTCATGCAGGGTGAAGCATCTGGACAGCAGGCTTCCCGGTTCTGCCACAATCCTGTTTACCATCCACCCTCTTACTTGTCTCTGTTCCCCGTATGTTGTGCTTATTAGGTAAAGCTGTACGTTACACCTGCCTAATAAAACGTCCTAGTGGGATAGGTCAGTTGAGTTAAATTTTTGCCTGGACAACTAGTCAAACTTATTTGTTTCCATTAAAAACATACAGCACAGAACATTAGTCTGACATCGTTCTTAGTCTTAAAAAATATAAATATAGAGGGATAATTTGTACAGGATGTATAGGTATGTACACCTTTAATATGCATATGAGAAACTGGAACAAGTTTATGAAACTTGAACTTGAAGAAAGCCTTCCTCCGGGGGCTTTTGAAGAAGGCGCTGCACCCCTGAGCATCTCCCCCAGGTCCTGTAGCCCAAAACCAATGGACTCTGGGGCCCCCTGACCTGGTGCTCAGGGTCAGTTTGGGCTGCTTCGGCTCACTGTTTTCTCTCCGCAGGCTGCTGGAGGCAGAGCTCGCTCCCTGCTGAGACGATGGGCAGGCTGCTCTCCAGGTGGTGGTTGATGAGGTGGCTGATGCTGTCGAAGACCCTGTCCTTCGTTCGGATCTGTGAAGAATGCACAGAGCAGGCTGAGTACATCCCACAAACAGAAAAAGAGATGACCTCATGCTTAGAGTCAGCTGAACCGACGGTGCTGAACTGGGGGCTTCCCAGAGCCTGGTCTCTAATGATAGCCAGTCTATTCAGTCCATTTCTTCTGTCCATCCCTCTGAGACTGAGTTCTGGAATGTGCAGCCCGCTGCCCCATGGGCCCTTCCTGCCCTGTCCCTTTCCTCTCTGTCAGCACTGGGTAAGGCCTTGGAGGTGGAGCCGTCTCCAACTTCAGCAACCAGGGGCCCCCACACCTGTCCCCTGCCTCCTGTGTGGCTCTTGGGAGCACTCCCAGAAGCCTCCGTCCAGACAGCACATACCCACCCATGGGGTCCACAGGCTCCCATTCCCTGCTCACTTCTGGGTTTTGCACAGCTGCCTCTGGGCTGGGATGTGCTTCTGCCACCTGGGGCCTGGCTCAGGCCCTCCCTCACCCGCCCTGTGCAGCCCCTGTGTATCTGTGCATCTCCCAGAGAGAAGCTGCAAGCTCCCCCCAGTCTCCCCAGGAGGGTAAGGACACAAGTTCCCAGGCTTGTAGTTCTAGAGCCTAGTGCGGCACGTGCCCGTGAACTTTTCCCAAACAGACGCATAAGGAGCAGAAGGAGGTTTAACGTGTCACCCTGTTAGCTGACCTGCGCGGTGGCCCTGAGACCATCAGTGGTCTCCACCCCGAGCAGGCACCTTCCCTGGTATAGACTGCACCTGAAGAAGGCGCGGCTGTCTCCAAGACTCCGGGCACCATCCCCTGAGATGTGTGCCTTTGAAAAGTAGGAGATAGGGCTGGAAGTGGACAGCCTGGCTAGATGCGGACCCCCACACAGGTCATGCATGCCCAACTTAAGGGATCCCTTAAGTCCCCCTGAGTTACCAGGAGCCCCCCCTCCCACAGGGCAGCCAGCTTTTGTGCACTCAGATTTGTGCTCCAGCTCTATTCATAGTTGACAAAACTTAGAGGCAACCAAGATGTTCCTTAGTAGGGTGACAGATAAGCCATGGGACACTCATGCAGCGGAATGCAATTAATGGGCACTAAAAGGAAAGGAGCCACCGAGCCCTGAAAAGACTCAGAGGAAATGTAAATACCTACTACAAAGTAAAAGATACCGATCAGAAAAGCCCACATTCAACGTGATTCTAACTCTGTAATATTCTGGAAAATGCAGAACTATGCAGACAGCAAAATGATCAGTGGCTGCTAGGGTCAGTGGGGAGGAAAGGAAGGATAGACAGGCAAGGGGGTGTGTAGGGCAGAGAGAACACTCACTGTGACGCTCTACTGGGGGGACACAGGTCATCATGCAACTCCGAGAATGAGCCCCAGTGGAAGCGAGCAGCTCTGAGCAAGGATGTGTCCCTGCCAGTGCAGCAACTGCAGTAGCTGGGCCACGCTAGGAGAGACCCTGATGGGGGGAAGCTCTCAGGGAGGAGGGCAGGCCTTACATGGCAAATCTGTAACCCAAGCACTCAGTGTTGTTGAGAACCTAAAACTTCTCTAAAAGATAAAGTTAAGTAGGGCTTGTAATCCCAACACCCTGGGAGGCTGAGGAAGGACAATTACAAGTGCAGCCCAGTCTGAGCGACACAGCAACTTAGCAAGACCCCGTCTCAAAATTTAAAAAGAAAAAAATTAAGAAAGCGTTGTGGATGTAGCTCAATGCAAATGCCCTGGGTTCAATCTCAATGATGAATTTTTAAAAGCCTACTTGTACCAAAAAAAAAAGAATAGAATAATATTCAACCTGAAAATGCTTGAGTGCAAGGAGGCCTCTGCGGGGAGCAGGTAGAGGAGGTGGAGTTAAGATTTCTCATTTCTTTAAACAAGGCCACTTCAGATCTAGAGTTGTTCACGGTGAGGATTTTCTTCTTTGGCTTTATTTTGGCAGACCATTATCGCTAACAATGGGCTCCTTGTTTAAACACAGATCCTCCAGGCGGATTCTGCAGCAGGTTCGTGGGGTGAGCCCTCTCCCACCCCTGGGGGTGGGGCAGACACATGCACTTGGCTCTGTGGAGCTGTGGTCAGCAGCCATCACCCCAGGGTCCCAGGTGGGAGGGCAGAGGCGAGGCTAGGTGATGGGAGATGGTGAGGTGGAGGGGCTGTGGGCCCCGTTGTTTTGGACAACCACAGGCCACTCGTCATTTCTGTGCACTCCCATGGGTCCTCAAAAGGCTGGTGGAAACTTGCAGGCTTGTTCCCTGGCCATGACCTATGCCCGGGTCCCGACCGCCTCTGGGGCCAGGATCCAGGAGGCATTAAAACAAGATCCCCACAGACCCCAAAATCCAAGGAGGCTCATGTCCCTTTTATAACATGACATGATCCTTCTGTAAGCTTTAAATCCTTTTTAGGCCACTAATGATACCTAAGACAATGTAAATACTATTAAATAATTTAGAAATAATACAGGAAAGAAATAATGAAAAACCCCACACATGTTCAGTACACACACAAGTCTTTGCCCAGACGCATTCAGTTGGTCAAATATGCAGATGTGGGACCCACAGGGGCAGGCTGTGCAGGGATTGCTTCCTGTGGAGCATCAGTGCCAGCTCTGCCTTAGAAACCAAACCTCAGGACCCCTGCAGCTGGGTAGAATAATCTCTTGTCTCAGGAGTATAATTCTGGGGCTCTCCCTGTCCCCGAAAGCTCAGCCGTGATCCTGGCCCCACTGTGGAAGCTCAGGCTATCTTGGGAGATGTCCTGACTCCACGAGGCCTCTACAACACCCCTTAAGGGGCACAGAGAAAACCACAAGGGAAGTCTTCATTTCACTGCTCTGTGGGGGGAGGCTGGGACTTCTATGCTCAATGGACCCAAAGCCATCTGTGCCCCTAACTCACACACGCCTATCACCTGCTTTCAGTGACCAGAGATAGCACCAAGTGCTCACAGATGGGAGGGTTCCAGGCCCAGAAAACTGGCCCAGGGAGGGCACAGCCAATGTGCACATGAACCCCAAACACTTATAAACTCCAAGAACCCAGAGTGGAGCTGGAGAAAAGGAATCCCAGGTGGGGAAGTGAGCAGTGGGCACTTCTGGCAGCCTGCTTGGGCCTGGGCAGGGAGCAGAGGTCTGTGTTCTCTGGCCTTGAGCCCTCCCAGGTGAGGCCCCTACACTACCCTGACACGGTGTTCACTGTGTTCTTCTGGCACCCCCTTGTGGCCAAAGAACACAATGATGGGGACTCGGGGATTTTGAAGTAGAAGGTTCTTTCGACATTAGTATCTGGAAATATTTTCTTTATAGTTACCAAACAGCTTGGTCTCACAGAACCCTATGTGCATCCAACAATAAGGCAGGAGAGGGGAAAGCCCCAGAGTACTTGTAGGAACTCCACTCTGCCCAGGGGACTCAGCAAAACAGGCCTGGGAGATGGCCCTTTGTACCCAAGGCAAGTCACACAACCCCCTGTAGCTGGAGATGGCTGAATAGTCATGGTAGCACCATCATCTCCATGTTGTTTTGTACTGATCAAAGCACAACACCAACACTGGCCATCAGCAGATTACCCAGTGAGCAGAAGCCTCAGTTCATTCTCCTGAGCAGAGATTTCTCCCTGTGTCCCACTCCCAGCAGGAATGGACCATGACCAGGCCAGAACTGGTCCCTGAACAGAGACACCAGGCAGGAGTCCAAACAGCCTTGGCACCACCCCCTCCCCCGGCCCCCAGGGCTCCGAACACCTGGAGGGAGATGCAAGGAGACAAGGATGCAAGCATGGGACTGCTCCTGCTGCAGCGCCCAGCCAGAGACAAACATTGTGGGTGCCTGGGCACCACGATGCTCTCCACACCTGCTGTATCACTCGGGGTGGCTTGGCCCGTGATAGACTCGAGTATGGCAGCCTCTCCTGGCCTTGCCCACAGATGCAAACTATCACAGAGAAAGATCAGACCGAGGCCTCAGACAAATCCAACTCTGATCTGTTCCTGAGATCTGACTGGCTATCAGGAACAGCCAACTCGATAGGGCCTATCTGCATGGTCTCAGAGTTGCTTATAATATTTTAATCCTTTTTTTTAAAGTCTGAAAATAGAGGAAACTCGATCCCACAGGCAAAAGATACAAGATCAATGGAAAGGAATCGATCACAGGCGTCCAGAGGGCTGAATTTTAGGGAACAAGGCTGCCTTAGAAACTGAGAAATAAAGTAAAAGTAGTAATAAAATAATTAACAAGGCCAGGCATGGTGATGCACACCTGTACTCTTTGAACTCTGGGAGGCTGAGGTGGGAAGTTCACGAGTTTGAGCCCAGCCTGGACAACTTCACAACTTAGAGAGACCCTGCCTCAAAAGGAAAGACTAGAGATGTGTGTGGCTCAGCACCAAGGTCCTGGTTTCAACCTTTAGACATGAAAAGATAAATAAGCAAACAAGCAAACAAATATGTTTTTAAAATTAACAAAAATGAAGTTGTTCTGATTTTCCAAATGCATGCTTGGAGCTATAACCATCTCACTATTTCTATTCTCCAGCATGACCTCCAGAAGTTGGTTTGGCTTGCAAAAAGAGGAAATCCATTGTGGTTATTTTTCTTTTACTTCCTGTGTTCATCAGCTTTCTGTCACTGTAACAAAATGCCTGTGACGGTCACCGTATGAAGTGTTTACTTTGGCTCGGAGCTTCAGAGGTTTGAGTTCAAGGCTGCAGGGCTCCCTCACTTGTGGGCCTGTAAGGGGCAGCACATCACAGCAGCAGTGTGTGGTGGAACAAAGGCACTCACCATACAGCCAGGAAGAGATAAAAAGGCAGACTTCTGGGTTCAGTATCCCCTCAGTGACATATCCCCAGTGACCTTACTTTCTCCCACCAGGACCAACCTAATGAAGCTTCTAAGACAAGGACAGGACTGTATGACTGGAGTTGAGGGCCATCCTGGAGCCAAACTAAAACACTTCCCATCCTCATGCACCATCCAGAAAGGAGGTGAAAGTGAATCTTTCAAATGTTAT